ATATATATACATACACACTAGTTAAGATGAGACAAATTGGAGCAGCAGATGAAAAATGGGTCAGGTCAATGAAACATTGATATGCTGTATGTATGACCTGCTCTCAGCATCAGAATCTTGTCAGAAACAATACAAGTTCCCAAGGCTTTTATTCTGTACTGTCATACTAATTCATTGGTAGGGTGGGGAGTGAGGTATTTAATAGTTACACACACACACACACATATATATATATATATATATATATATATATATATATATATATATATATATATATATATATATATATATATATGCAAATTTTTTTTTTTTTTTGACAAATCTGTTTATTGTTTAAGTGAGCATAATGATTTAATTTAGCATTAGCATTTTGTATGCATAGCTATAGTGAATTTAACAGTATTATGTGCTGATGAAGTTGGTTGTACAGGGCAGAATCTAAAATTATAAGTGAAACTAATTTTCATAAGTGAAAATACATAAGAGAGAGAGAGAGAGAGAATTTATATTCCAGTACATTCTTGGACTGAAGAGCTTAATAATATAAAGTATTCCATTATATAGCATATGAATAACTATATTACTGCAAAATTTAAATATACAATGCAAACATGCACATTATCTTTGCTGTGTAATAAAAAATATCTGTTTCTGTCAATCTGACAAAAGCAGAAGCTTTCATTCTGTGAAATTACAGATCTCTCTGCTGATCATAAATGGAAGAAACAGTGCAGCCATTCTTGGAGCTTTAAATGCCCCTTAAAATAAAAGATCAATGAAATGAAGGGAAAAATGTTTTTAAAAGAAGAGTATAAAATCTGAGGACGAAGGAGTGGGCATAAAAAGAAGAAAAAAAAAAAGAGAAAAAGATAAACAGAATAATTTTAACACATAGCCTCAGTTAATTTGAAAATTTTCTTATTGCTTCAAAAATAAAACAAATGGAAAACTTTTGGTAACTGCCTTTGAAGTGTTTAGCATTTCATACATATTGATAAAATAGTTTAGGTTTATGGATATGATAAATTCTCCCTTTAATGAATACTATTTGAAATATCTTTAGAAATGAATTTGAAAAAAAAAAAAAAAAAAATTACCAAATGGTTTAGTCATTTGGAATGTCCATGACTCATCTGAAAGATAAAGTTTGCAAATAATAAAAATATGCATAATACTACTGTGATTAGTACAATGTCTTAAATGAAAGAAATCTAAGAGGTTGCGTGTATATGTAAGTGTACATGTATGTGAGGTAGATGTACAAATGAAACACTATTGATGAAAATTTAAAAATTGAAAACAGTATTGAACATTTACTTAAATGTGAGATTAAATAAATAGCTGATATTATTTCTTAAAGATAAAAGGCATTGAGAAAAATTGCATAGATAAGTGATCTAAAGATATACTTTGATATATGGGGGATAGAAAAAGTGTCACTAATAAATGAGTAGGCTAATTTAATATATGGAAATTTTTTTTTAGCAAAACTCCTCCAAAAAACTAGCCTAGGAAAATCCAATAATCATTTGCTATGTGAAAAATCATTCAGTATAGTGTAAGAAAAGCTTATGATTATTTGATGTGCTATGTTAAGATGTCCAGTTATTACAGTAGTAACAATTTGTGTATGGAAAATAATGTCATGGTTAAAAGAAAAAAGCTTTTATGGTGATTCATTATAAATGGTTTAAGGCATTTCATGAAACAACTAGAAAGAAATTTGAAAATTTTCATAGATACTACAAGTGATCAGAAGGCAGCTGACATTCAGCAAAAGAGAGACTGTAGAAGAAACTGTTGCTTGTTGAATTGAGGTTAAGAAAATGGTGGGAGGAGTAGAGATCTAAAAAGCAAGATGTACATATGACTGAAATATTAAAAGAGCTATTGATAGACTTCCCAGAGAGGATGAAAAATATGCAACTTATGAAAAATTAAACTAAACAAAACCCCAAAATACTGATGAATAATTAGATTAATTCAAATAGAAGATTGAATAGAAGACAAAAACTAGAGGAAAGCAAACACAAAGCAAATTAAAAATTGAGAAACCATGTTAGACATTGATCCATGTAGTTATGAGCAAATAGCAACAATTCTTGGAGAAGCAAAGAAATTAGATAAAATGTAAAAAAAATAAATTTGAGAAAATAATAACTTCATTAAAATGATTAAAATATTACAAGCCAAAAGAAAACTTTATAAACAGTGAAACAAAAATCAAACTAAAAGCACTCAAGTAATATAACAAAAAGTTGCTGAATCTAAACTAGATTTAAAAAGTTATGAAAAAATGTTACTTATATTAAAAATAAAATGTTTGAGTAGATTCATTTTCATCAACATTAATACCATACTATTTTTGATGTAGGAAAAACTCAAAGACTAGTAAAGTTAATTGAAATTAAAGCTGTACCTGTCATTAAATTTCTGATCACATTAACTGAAATAATATCAATAATTGTAGCTGTTTAATATACTAATAGTTTTGATTCCAATGGACAAATTTAATTTTATGTTAGGTTTAGATTAAAGCAATAGAATAATTCATTTGATGACTTGTTAATGTGATAGATTTTTAGTCCATAACTGCAAATTAAAATAGTTGAAAAATTATATAAACTTACAATTACTATAAAAATACAATAAATTATATATATATAAAATACAAACAGTTCTTTATCATGTGTAAACTGAATGTGCATACATTGTGTAGAATTAATAAGTATTTGGTCAACAAATTATATTTTTCCTTCTTTATACTTTTTAAAAAGAAAAATTACAATAAATACCACTAGTTAATTCATTTTAGACTCTAATCTATTTTTGAAACAAATATAATTTTTAATTGTTACAAATAACAGCTCCTATAGAAAGTCTTAGAAAATTGGATTAAAAATATCAAATTTAGAATTTAAAAAGTTTGTAATTTTTTCAATTTATAATATATAATTTTAAAAGGTTCCAATATCTAACATATCAATGGATAATATTAAACAGTCACACATTCCTGTATTTTCATTATATATTTGAATTATCCCTCAAAATAAAATCAAACTTTAAAAATTTAGTATGCTATATCAAATAAATTTGACTGCTCAAACTAATCACACAACAGAGTGACAGATTGGTTTGTTGGTTTACTGAATAGTCATTTGGGATCTAAAACTAAATAGAATGTTGTAAAAATAACTCAAAATCATTTTCCAATACTGTAAAAGATGGTAAACCTTTTCACATTAAATAAAAATATGCTATTCACTTTTAATAGATAATATTAAATAAAATTTACACTTCCAAAAACTGAGTGAAAAGTTGAGGGTGAAATGAAAGTGAACAGCTGCAAAAAGAAAAACAAATTTAAAAGAGAGTTTTAAATTGCTTTGTGTTAAAAGAAACCTAAACTAAACAAGTAGTAAAAGACAATAGAAATGTTTTTTTTTCTTTTGTTTAAATCATGTGAGATGATTTATATTATATATATATATATATATATATATATATATATATATATATAAAAAAGAGAAAAAGGGATGATATAAATAGATATAAATATATGGATAATATAAATAGTATAAATAGATATGTGGAGATATTGTCATACCACCTACATAGGTTAGATTGTTTTAACTGAAATGGTTTAAAATTTTGTTATACATAAGTGTTCAAAGAAACAACTAATAAACTTTTTGCATGTATTAAGGGAGAAAAAATGAAATAAAATAAAAACTGATATTATTTTTCAATTATGTAAGATATCCATTCTTGAGATAACCATCTTTCTTGTTCAACTTTCTTTGGTCAATCTACAGATTTGAATGCCTTTTGAAAGCATTACTGAAAGACAAGTAGTGACCTAAGCAAAGAAAGCTTGATTCAGAATATAATTTTTTAGATTCAAAGAAACATTTTTTTTTAATTTTTAAAAGAAATTAAAACATAAATGGAACAATTTAAAACACATCCCATTTCCATTACTTTGAAAGAAGCTGATGTGAATCAAATCAACAAGAAAGATAATAGTGACACTTCTATTGTTTTTTACAACTAGAAATGCAAAACAAGCTAACCTTTTACTATATAAGGTGATTGATGTCTCTCACTACTTGGTCACATCAAGCATTTGATAATGATGTGAACTTTAGGAAAATAGGTAATTTTACATTCATATAACAGTTAAAAATGCCATAAACATATTGATAAATTAAATGGCAATAAATGATTTTTTAATGACTCCAATTATAAAGCAATTGATTCTCATATAGAAATTTCTATGTATTGTTCTAAGTAAGCAGTTTAACTTCCTGTACAAAGATACAATATCTGAAAGTATAGAGGGGAAATTGAGAAAATGAGATTTTTCTTACTTTTATTTTTTTTTGCAAATGTCTATTTTTATACTTTTATTTGTTGAGAATTACTATTCTGAGTTATATAGATGTATTTAATATCATTGAAAATTTTTTTAATTTTAATTTGAAACAGATATACTAATAAAAAACATTAGAATTTTATTATTTATGAATGTTTCTCACTAAGATGAAATGCTTTTAATACCTAAGTTTTATGTTGTAATTAAAAAATTTCTTCATTTCCTCATAATACTAAACACTTCTAAGGCTACCCAAAAAACTCATTAAGAGCATTTACATTTTTTAATGTTTCTGCTGAAATTAATTATAAATTGGAGTGGGGGCAGGATAAAAAAAAAAAAAAGGGTTAGCTTCCATCTTGTTTTATCCAGAGATTGGAGAGGCAATGTATTTAATATTTTTTTCCTCACCCTTCCAAGTTGTGGAAAGCTGAATTATATAAAAAAAAAAAAAAAAAAAAAAAATGTGAAAAAATTTGGGATGGGGTGGGTTTAACATCTGTTTAAAGTATTAAATTAGAAAAAATAAAGATATTACAAATCAAAAATGAGAATAAAATGGGGATAAAGAAAAAAAAAAAATTAAAGGGGATTTCCGTGCTATGAAATGGCGGGAGAGGGTACCCTAACGGGTAGATGCTTGACGAGCCCTCTTTATCTCCTCTTGCTGGAGGCGTCGCTGGATTAAAATCTGGGCTTTGGCAATATTGTTAGGAGTACCAGTTATGGTGACAACACGATTACGGGTACCCGGTACATAGACTCCTTTCTTCGAAATCTGAATGTTGGTGCCCGTGAGCTGTTGTATTTCCACGATGCCTTTCCCGCCAGGTCCCAGAATAGCTCCAACTATTGTCTCCGGAACTTCCATCTCATGCTTTGTTGCCGCGGCTGACTTATCATCAGCAGGGCTGTAGATGCCAGTTCCGAGGCCAAATGAATTTTGATTAACATTGGGAGACCTATCACCAGCCATGCTAGGGGTACCAGTGAACCCTGGAGTGCTGGCATAATTAGTAGCATTGCCAAATGAATCATTAAGCATTGGACTTCCACCATATCTTTCGTTGCCAATACTGGGAGAAGAATTACTGAAAAGACTAGAGTTTGCTCCAGTAGAGCCAGAACTTCCCAGTCCAGATGAGCCACTGCCAACTGGACCAAAAAGGCTACCAGCACTATTAGTACTGGTGGTAGTGTTAAAAAAAGGGCTGCTCACACTGGTAGTAGATGTTGTACTACTTGACATCATACTAGAGCCTTGTAAGCCAGATGAATTAAGATTCAATCCACTGCCTAATCCACTACCAGTTCCTAAATTTGCCAAATTATTCAAACTGCCCATTCCTAAACCCATACTAGCTAATATACCATAGCTAGCTAAAGTGTTCATGGCAGTACTTATTTCTTCAGTAGCTTGCTCTGAAAATCCACTTCCCCGTAAGGTGATTTTTAAATTATCCAGAGCTGTGCTACTTATACTACCACTAGTGCCACCACCTAAAGCTGCATTTAGGTTCAAATTTGTCATACCAGTTCCTATATTATTTCCAAAGGCATTTCCATTAAATCCAAAACCAAAAGCACCAAAATTACTATTAGCTAAACCTATCTCAGTACTTCTGTTCTGCATGTAGTCTGTGTTTGCAAAAGGAGACCCAGTGGGATTTGCACTGGCCACTGGCCCTGTATAGTCTGCATAGCTAATATTTGGACAACTTCCGCTCTGGGGATCTTCAACAATCTTTTGTAAAATCATATCAACTGCTCTTCTATTGGACTCAACATCACCTAAAACAGAAAAAGAAGATTAAATACAATTTATTAAAAAACGAAAATTTTAAAATAAAAAATTGTTCATTTAAGAATTTTCTTCAGAAATTCAGGCTTGCATGATTAATGAATAGACAGAAGGTATACCAGAATTCAGCTATTTTCCACAGGTTGGCTGAAAATTACTCAGAGCCAAAAGAATTTTGCAAATTACCAAATGTGGCTAGCTTTCAATATTGACAATGCTAAAAAAATCTTTGATTTTTATACATTTTAAATCTGTTCTCAGAGTAAATTTGAATATGAGAGTGATGACTGCTGAAATGAGAATTTGTATTATGTCTGATGGTAAATTTTGTGCCAGTAAATTTTAACCTGGAAAAATATTTAACAGTATTTTTAACAGGTAAAAATTATTGACTGGATTTTGCTATAGAACTAGATTTCAGTCCTGTATTAGATATGAATTTATATCTAACATTATAATATATTTAAAATTAATATTTACAATAAATATCTAATGGAAAGTAAATGAATTTAAGTCACATACTACTTTAAGTAAATTTATTAAATTAATTTAAGTCATATGTTCCCATGTAAGATTGTAAATATTCTGTTATTTAGAGAATTATCTAAAATATTATTTAATCCAAAAATATTTCTTTCATTTATTAAAAACAAATGTAAACAGCTGCCACATAAATATGTTCAAAACAATACACTGTGATTGATTTTTTTTTAACTTACCAGCAACTGTCACACATCGCTCTGGCAAATTAGTTTCCTTTGACTTCTGAGATATTTGCACATAAGCCCCACTTTCTTCTTTAATTTGTTTGATATAAATTCCACCTTTCCCTATAATCATTCCTGCAGTGCTGTTAGGAACCAAAATCTTCACCTGAAACAAAACCATATTAAACATTTTTAAGTTTTATAAATCTGTGTAAACTATATATTTTTATATTGATGATATATAAAAAATAAGGTATTTAATAGTTAACTGATAATCAAAACTTCTTTGAACAAGAATCATTATGTTCATTTTAATGAGATTCTATTTTGTAAACATTATATTGAAAGTATTGTAAAAAAAAAAAAAAAAAAAAAAAAGATAACTAGAGAGGATCAAAAAACCATGTTTTTATAAAACTACTTGAAAATAAACATTTTTTAAATTTTGTAGGATTCCTGCATATTACACCAATAAAAGAAAAATGCTGATGGTATCTGTGAGACACTGATCCAGAACTATTTAATCTAAGAGCCCCTCATACTGAATGAATTATACACCTGAGAAAGGTAAGAGAATGTTTTGGTCAAATTGTTGTGATAAACCCAACAAAAATTAATACTAGCCCAAATGACGCATGGATTAATAAAAAAGGGTTATCACAAAATTTTCAATGGATATTAAATATAAACATTAATAATTCATCTAATAAAAATATGATTGAAACATTAAAAAGAAAAATATTATAATAAAATATAGAAAATAAAAACAAGAGTAAAAGAATATCTAAGAGAATATCTCAAAAAGAGAAAGAAAGAAAGAGAAAGAAAGAAAGAGAAAGAAAGAGAAAGAAAGAAAGAGAGAGAAAGAAAGAGAGAGAAAGAAAGAGAGAGAAAGAAAGAGAGAGAAAGAAAGAGAGAGAAAGAAAGAGAGAGAAAGAAAGAAAGAAAAGAAAGAGAGAAAAGAAAGAAAGAGAAAAGAAAGAAAGAGAAAGAAAGAAAGAGAAAGAAAGAAAGAGAAAGAAAGAAAGAAAAAGAAAGAAAGAGAAAAAAGAAAGAAAGAGAAAGAAAAAAGAGAAAAAGAAAGAGAAAAAAAAGAAAGAAAAGAGAAAGAGAAAAGAGAAAGAGAAGAGAGAAAAGAAAGAGAAAGAGAAAGAAAGAGAAAAAAAGAAAGAGAAAGAAAGAAAAAGAAAAAAAAAGAAAGAGAAAGAAAAAGAAAGAAAAAAAGAAAAAAGAAAGAAAAAAGAAAGAAAAAAAAGAAAAAAGAAAAAGAAAAAAAAAAAAAGAAAAAAGAAAAAAAAAAAAAAAAAAAAAAAAAAAAAAGAAAAAAAAAAAAAAAAAAAAAAGAAAAAAAAAAAAAAAAAAAAAGAAAAAAAAAAAGAAAGAAAAAAAAAAAAAAAAAAAAAAAAGAAAAAAAAAAAAAAAAAGAAAAAAAGAAAAAAAAAAAGAAAAAAAAAAAAAAAAAAAAAAAAAAAAAAAAAAAAAAAGAAAAAAAAGAAAAAAAAAAGAAAAAAAAAAAAAAAAAAAAAAAGAAAGAAAGAAAAAAAAAAGAAAGAAAAAGTATGAAATTACTCAGTTTTGAGTTGATTATAGAGAATATAGACAGATCCCATCTGAACATATATCTTTGAAAACAAAAGGAAAATGATAGGAAAAATACACATTTATCATTAATATTGATTGGCAGTAAGAAAATATGAGCAAGACTAGTTTTACCTGCCGGTGTCGTTCATAAGTGCTTTTATTTTCATCTAATTTTGGATTGGGTTCTGGCTTTTCCCTGATTTTTTCCATTATAAAGATATGGACTTTTCGGACAGCTTCAACTGAACCAGTAATAAGACACACCCGTTCTGATGTCCCTGGAAAATTTATTGAAATCAAACAATTATACAGAAAAATGTAAATGACTTAGCGGTATACCTAAATACCTGAATCATTAATAAAATTCATTAAATTTATCCTGCTATGCAGAAAGTTATCATTCCTTCATATTTATATTGCTTAGACTAATTACAAAAAGAGAATACTAATTTTTAAAAAAAAATTCATGTTAATTAAAATCCTTTGCACTTAATTTGATATACATAATTTTTCTTAAAGTAGACTTGCATCTTTTATATAAAGCCTAATAGAAAGAGGTTTAATGACAATATCTTTAGAAGACAACTTGATGATCCAGTGGATTGAATTCCTGTGTGTCTGGACATCATCATAATAAACACATCTGAATGATGAAGGTCATATAATCTAAGAGATTTATAACCATTTGTGGGGATTTTTTCATTTTATAATGTTGCTGTAAAGACATTCTCTATGCTTTTCAAAAGATTAAACAGATCTGAACGCTTAACATTTAAAAATAATAAGAAATCTCAATTGAATTATTTTCTTTTATAGAATTGGCATTGTTAAATCAAAAATTAGCTAATTAATCAAAAAATTTGATGGAAGTAATTATTATATTCTATAAAGATTTATGTGATAATAAAATATCAACATTAATAAAAGTTATTTCTGCAATAATATATTTTTTTAGTTGTATTTGATTAAAATTAAAATCAATGGCTTAAGAAGCCATTGATTTTAATTTAAGCATAGACAGCTAATATTGCCAGTAAGTAGTTCTAACACTAAAAACATCTGAAGTTTCTTTAATTATTATGCATATATTTTAGCATATTGAAACAAATATTCAAGAAATACATTTAAAAAATATATAGATGTGGTGATAGTGCTTTGTTGAAAGATTTTTTCAGTTAACATGGTTCCATTTTAATTTTTTTTAAAAAACAAATGATATATGGAATGTAATACTAATACAGATAAAATCTTTAATGTAACTAAGTTACAAGTAGTGTATATGTTCAGAATATGCAATCTATTTCTCCAAATAATCACAAATTATTATACATCATTCAAAAATGGGTAATAAAATAAGTATTGTATTTCAAAAATGGATGGAAATGTTGTAGATTAATTATTAACAGCATGGAAAATGGAAGTGGTGAGAGACAGTTTGAGTTCATTCAACAAATGCCATGACCGTGGTGGTGGTGGTAGTGGGGATTGAAAGTATGAATTTCTCTCTCTAGCTATGGGTTCAATAGTAGGGCAAACCAAGATCTGTAGCTTTAGTTGGCAATCAAACTGAATAATTGAATTAGAAACTAGAGAAGCCATTGGAAGACACTTCACTATTAATCTCAAGAACTTACCAAAATAATTTATAAATTAATTTCAATGTTATGGTAAACAAAGCATGTTTTCTATTCAGTTGGCAAAAAAGAAATTTCAGTTATTTTCCCCCTCTCCTACAAGGTTTTACTCAGCTATATCATTATAATGGATAGTTGTTTCCTTAAATTCAATTTTATGCAATTTCATCAAGACTTTACTTTGAAGGAATTAATAGAAGCTGTGTTACAGTATATCATTAAGGTGGGGGTGGTAAAGATTTCTGATCCATTTCCCAAAACTTGACCAAATAATTAATCAGAAACTTTTTTTTCTTGGTTGGGCTAAGAACATTTCAGCATTCCTTTATATATTGAAATAAAAAAAAAGTTTACATAACTGATAAAAAAATTTAAATGTATAAACAACCAAAAAGATTATATGTAATAGGCTATATATGCTTAAATGTAAAATAATTTTAAAGAGATTGGAATAATGCATTTGTATATGTGACATAATCAATAGAACATATAACAATAGTAGTAATAATAATAGTAGTAGTAATGGTTATGATGACAACAATGATGATGAAATATTACCTGGATAGTGGTCATTTGCTTTAGACATTTTGACTCTGGCACCAGCATCTTTTTGCACTTGTGCAATAGTTTCCCCACCTTTGCCAATAATAGCCCCAGCAGCTGCACTGGGGACTAAAATCTTTAGGTGCACATTTTCACCTGTAATAAAATAATTTTATTTTAATAAACAAGTTAGGATATAAATACAATAAAACAAAGAAATACATTATTGAATGCAAATTTTATAAATTGCTCTTTCTCTTTGAATAATAATATGAAAGAACAGTACTCATATTTCAAAGTATGCACAATAAAAAAAATAAATTCTTGTAAACAATCATAATTAAAATAGGTGTAGAAAAATATATTAAAATTTAGATCAAAAATATAAACTAATAACAATCTGAACAATTTCAAGTGTATAAAAAGGTATCAATAAATACAAAAACAAGTGAGTAAATATCCTAAAAAATAAAATGGAATCTTGTATAACAGTTTATTAAAAATCTTAAAGATATTCAAAAAATAATCACAGTAAACCATCAAAAATTTTAAATCTGTAAAGAAATATATCTATATTTGTTCTTGCAATGTCTGACACTACAAGAGCAAAAACATTGATGAGAATTGAAAAGTTCTATAAAGTTTCTCATATTAGACTTAATAGAAACTAATAGACATAAGATCAAATATAAAATAAATATCTATCAGATAAAACATGTTGCTACTACACCTAACTCAAATAAGGTCACAATGCCAACAAAATCAAGAAAAAGGGTATAATTTAGAATAAATTTAATGTATAGGTAATAATGAAAACAATGTATGTAAAACAAAAATCATTTAATATATAATGAAATATATGTATGCATAAAAGTTCCCATGATAATTAAAAAAAAAAAATATATATAATGACAATTAATTTCTGCCATGAAGGGTCTTTAGTTTTCAAAAAAATAAAAAAAAATAAAAGTAAAACACACAACCAAATCTACCAAAAAAGAAGTGTAAACAGAACTGAGTATTCAATGATTAAAAGATTTAAGAAAATTTAAGTTTATACAAAGTTCAGTGCATTTACAGTTTACAGAACTTAAAAGGGAATGTTCAATAAATGGCAAACTAGCTGCACTCAAAGGTGTTTAAATGCAAATTATATTACTAAGATATGTCTGTAAAAGAGAGAAGAGAAAAAACGAGAGAAGGGAGAAAAAACGAGAGAAGAGAGAGAAAAGAGAAAAAAGCGAAGAAAAAAGAAAAGAAAGAGAAAAAAGAGAAGAAAGAGAAGAAAGAGAAAAAAGAGAAGAAAGAGAAAAAAGAGAAGAAAGAGAAAAAAGAGAAGAAAGAGAAAAGAGAAAAAGAAGAAAAAAAAAAAAAA